TTATCTGAAAATATTTATTAACACAAGTTTTGGGAATTAGTAAAAGAATAAAACCAATCACGAAGTAATTACCAATAGTAAGAGCTATCATTTATTAAACTGGGCTGAGTACTTCATAAACATAATTGCATACTCATAAAAACCCTATGAAGTATTATTATGCCCAAATAACAGGTGAGAAATATGAGGCTCACAGAAGTTAAGTAACTTTCCCAAGTTCACATAGACATAAAGTGCAGTCGAAATTCAAATCCAAAGCTAAATCTAGGGGCTGTGTTCTTACCTACTATATTAAACCACCTCTTGTTACAAATGAGAATTTATGAATTTATTTCTAATCATACAAATTCTATAAAAGTTACACCTTTACTGCCCTCTTAAAAATTTATGTTCTGATTGTAAACTGGATATACAGATTTGAACTAGGTGAAGAGCACTGAACATTAAGTGGTACCATAGAAAACTGACATTTCAGCCTAATATTTACGTGTATAAATTGGACTTTCACTGCCTATTAAATTTCATCATCTTTTTTGGGGGGAGAACAGTCTTTCACAGAAGGCACAAATATGAGACAAGGTAAATTTCACTGAAGAGAAAATATCCTTTGTCATGGAAGATTATAAAAGTTTCTCTTCAACAATTTTAAAACTCCTACCACAAATCCCACAAATGCATGTAATATTCCTAATATTTTAGTAATGAATATTCCTCTATATATCCCTATATAGAGGCTAGCAGACACAAATTCACATTACTTTCCCTTCATCTATTAACTATCTTTTAATCTATCTCTCCAAGGCTAAACTCTCCATGTGTTTTTATCCCATCATCTCCTATCTCCCTTAGTCCTAGCTCTAGTAATTTTCTCTTTTCTTCTGCCTATTCTCAGTCTCTCACACTACACATCAGCATCTTCTCAGCCCACAAATATGTTCTACTCACATTCCTATTTTTTTTCCTCCTTGACCCAGTTACTCTCTCACTTCTTAAAATAAATAGTCCACACTTAATACTTTCAAATTCTGACCACCCCCCATCACTCCTTAACGGCCTAAATTTGGCCTGCATTGTTCTACTGACTGTTTTCTCAAATATCAACTGCAAATTAGCAAGAGTGTTTTTTCCCCAAGTCTCACACCATTTAACAGCTCTGTAGCATTTGACTATGTTGACTACCCTGTTCTTGAAACAGCCTCTTCTCCTGGCTTCCATGGTACTACTCTCTTTATCCTATCTTTCTCACTGTTCTTATCAGGCTCTTGCTCCTCTCCTGCTCCAAAATACACACACACACACACACACACACACACACACACGCACGCACGCATGCACGCACGATCACTCACTCACTCCACTCATAAAATGTTGGCATTCCCAAAGTTTCTTTTTTAGCTCTCTTCTCTTGAAGTGCTCTATTCCTTCCATAGATGGATTTTGTTTCACCTATAACTTCAACTTTCACCTTTTGCTAGTAAATCTTAAATCTCTATCTCCTCCCCAACTTCTCTCCTTAGATTCACATTTCCAAATGGATAGTATGCACTTCAAGCTAGATGTCCTGCAGGCACCATAAATTCAACACTTTTCAAATTAAACTCACGATTTTCATCCAGCAAATCTGCTTTTCATTTTACATTCCTTATGTCAGTTAATGACATTATCATTCTATGAGTTACATTAATGCTAGAGTCATATTTGATGCTTTTTCCCCTCCCAATGCCCACTATATAAAAAATGTCACTAACCATGCCAAATCTACTTCCAAAATGCTTCCTGCATCTATCCCTCTTCACTGTTCTACTATTACTGTAATTCACACCCTCGTAGATTCATTATTAGATTATTACGATATTCTTCTTACTGGTCTCTTTCCATAAAGTTATCCTCCATAGTGTTGCAAGGGTTATTTTTTCTAAAACACAGGTCTATTTATGTCATTTCTTTGCTTTAAAACTCTCAATGGCTTCCCATTATTTAAATCCTATTCCCTTAGCAAGGAACCCTTCAAAAACTGATCTCAGCTATTCTCCAATGTCACAATCCACATATCCTATTTTTTATTCAGAGCAGATGATTCTTGAGAATGCAATTTTATGCTTCCAAGATGGATTCTATTCTTGCCTAAATGGAATGACAAAAGGATGGAATAGGAAGGGTAGGGAACGGATACCTTTTGCTTGGTGAAATACTATTCATCCTTCAAGGCCAAACTCTAGTGTCATCTTTTCTCTAAAACTTTCTCCAAACTAGCTAAAGGATATGATTTATTTTGTGCTTTCATATTTCTTTGTTAATAAAACTAAAAAGCACCCTGCACTACTGTGATTAATTTCATAGTTATCTGTCCCTTGAGAATGTAAGCTCTTTGGTAATCTTTGTATTTTAGACATCTCTGAAAACTCATTGTCTAGAATAGTGCCTAACACATAGTATATGTACAACAAATGGTGTGAATTGAATTCCTTTTGTGACCTTCCTTTCCCTAAATAATTTCTGAACATCCTCATTTATTGTCTGTCTATATTTATCTA